CTGAGATTCTGTTAAAGGCTCTATGCACCTCTGTGTGTCTGGTCCTGAACAAAGATCACATTACCCTAATTGCAAGTTGTTTTTTGTTTTTGTTTTTTTTTGTTTTTTTATGTAAGTCTTGCAGTCTGGTAGGTCAAGTCCTCTCCCTCTGCTCTTTTCATTTGTCTTGGCTATTTTGGTCCTTAGCATTTCTGTTTGAAATTCAGGCTCAGGTTTATCCAGAGAGTCTCTTGAATTTTAAATACAAACAATAACTTTGCAAATAAGGACAGTTTTGTCTCTGCCTTTCCATTCCTTGCATATGTTGTTTATTGTTGTCTTATCTTACTGAGTAGCTAGGCATCTGGGACTATGTTGAACAGTAAGAGTAGTAGTGAGGCTCTCGTTATTCCTGACATTAAAGAAAATGCTTCTATTGGCTTCCCATTATGTATGTTTGCTCTAAGTTTTGTTTTTTGTTTTTTGTTTTTTGTTTTTGTAAAAAGAGACTCTAATAGGTTAAAGAAGTTTTCTTCTCGGTCTGGTGTCTTTCATGAATGTAACTAATTCCATTCATTACATAATGGATAATTACCAATGGGTAATTACCAAGCAATTTCTTCACTGGTTAGTGTTAAATGCAGGCTTTCAGTTTTTTTATTTGCTTGTGTTAGTTTATATATTTCTCAAAATCTTTCCATTTAAGTGTTCAGTTATTTGTCGTGTTACATGTCATGTTATGATTTTTTTACTGTATTTTTTTTTATTTTTTATTTTTTATTTTTTAATTTTTGAGAGAGAGACAGAGCTCGAGCCAGGGGTGGGGAGACAGAGAGAGAGGGAGACACAGAATCCGAAGCAGGCTCCAGCACAGACCCTGACAGGGCTCGAGCCCACGGACTGTAAGATGATGACCTGAGCTGAAGTCGGTCACTTAACCGACTCAGCCACTCAGGTGTCCCATTAGCTTATGATTTTTAATGATCTATTTCATCTGCTGTTATGACCCTTTTTGCTTATAATATTAATTTTTTGTGACTTTTCATATATTTTCCTTGTTTTCACTTTTACTAGAGGTTTACAATTTGACCTTTTAGAGATTGTAAGAGCCCACCAGGCCCTAGTTTCAAGCAGTGCTTCCCTACAGTCTCTCATTTGTGTGGGGGATTTTATTCTCCTTTTTTCCAAAGAAGTTACCTTCCTCAATGGTCACTGCCTCTCTCAGAATTCAGGGTCCTGCTTACTGTATTTGGTGTCTGTTTGCTTTGCTCCAGGCAAAGTTTGTCTTGGCTTTTAATCCTGACACTGTATTTTTCTTTTTATCCTTAACTTACTTTTATTTTTATGTGCTTTGAGGATCAGAATCCAATCAAATTACACACAGCTGGGCTTGAACCTCAACTAGGGTGGGAACTGTCCTTCCCTGTCTTCCTCTCTCCCGCCCTCCCTTTTCATCCTTCCTGCTTTGCTTTCTGAATGTACACCGTGTGCCAAGTATTGTATTGGTACTTTCTACACAATATTTTCATTACCACTTGGCAGGTGAGGAAAGTAAAACTAGGAAAGTAAACTGAGAAAGTAAAACTAGGTAACTCGCCCAAGGCCATTTAGATACTAAGTAGCACGGTGCCTGCAAACCACACTGACCTACTCAACCCTTAAGTGATTTGCCACTGACCTACTCAACCCTTAAGTGCATTCCTCACTGCATCCATTGTGGGAGCGGGATGTACCTTACCTTCATCCTTTTAGCCTATCGTCCTTATGAAATAAAGGCTTTAACAAAGTGAGGTTATTGTAACAGAAATAGACTGCTGAGTGCAGTACAAGGAACAAAAATCTTCCAGACACTATGCTCTATAGTTCTCATTAGCTTCTATTGTAAATTTCCTTGTCTATTTTCACCATACAAACATTTACTTGGAATTTCTTCGGTTAGTTTTTATGCAAAAACTTTATGAAATATAGAAAGGATCTTTAAACTTCGTAGATGTTTGCAATTGCATTTACATTTACTTATTTTTCATGTCATAAAATGTGCACATATGTCCTGAAAAACAAAAGTCTTCAAGTTTGGAATTTTGTAGCTGTAAGAATCAAGAAAACTAGACTTTCACTCAATAGAAAATATAATTATGCAACTAACTACAGGAATGTGTTGTGTAAGTACAGCCTCATCAATGAGTTACAACTGTTGAAAGGATGTTCTATCTTGAAAGATAAGCATTTGTCAGTTGTTCATGGACCTGTGCCCAATCTTAGATTTAAAGATATATTTGCAGAGAACTGTAGATAGCTGCCAACTTATACTAAGGACTTTTTTAAATGTCTTCTTTACTTGAGTGAAATACAATATAAAATGGCACATTTTTGCAAATGAACAATAACAAGTGCCTTTGTTTTCATGCAGAATTAGGAGGTGGACACTGATATTTATGTAGCATTTGACCAAATGATAAAAAGTCATGTTTATTTTTTTTAACATTGATCATAATGGATGTATGTGAATCTACATATTCATATAATGCTCATAAGGAAAATACACATAATTTCTTTGTTGCTGAGGTAACATTGACCCACACAGCAAAAATCAATAAAAAAAAGTTGTATACAATGTTCTTCAAATAAAAACTGTGACCAAGAATGACATTTTTTCCACTCTGAAGACTCTTTTTGTTCTTTTGAGATTTAGAACTGTTAGATCAAGGAGTTGTAACAATTATGCTTTTTATTTCCTAGATAAGAATGTTTCCTTGGGGCGCCTGGGTGGGTCCGTCAGTTGAGTGACCGACTCTTGACTTAGGTTCAGGTATTGATCCCCAGGTCATGAGATCAAGCCCCACATTGCGCTCTGTGCTGACGGCATGAAACCTGCTTGGGATTCTGTGTCACCCTCTCTCTGTGCCCCTCCCCCACTGTCTCTCTCTCTGAAAATAAACAAGTAAACTTAAAAGAAAAAGAGTGTCCCGTTTATTGTGATTACATAAACTATTCCTTTTTTTTTTCAGAAGGAAGCTTATTACTTTACCTTTTTTACTATTTTTATACTCTCATGTTTTTCCCACTATTTATTTCTAAGCTCAACATTAAGTTTAACTTAGTCCCCCAAATTTGAACTCCTTGTATGCATATTTCTCCCCCAAAGAACTGGGGGCTCTGTACCTTGGAATTTTTATTAGTTCACTCCAGTGAATTTTTAACTCACATACCTGATATGCGAGGCATGTGCCACATTTCACTTGGACACGGACTGGACTGGCCAACAGGAGTAGGATGGCTTGTGGAATGTTCAGGGTGACTGAGTTTCTAGCAAGGAGCATCACCTCCACCCACAATACCTGGACGGGGAAAACCCAGGCCCAGAGAAATGGATTCACCAGAAATTACCGTCACCATTGTTTCCTGGATCTTGAAGGGGTCTCAATAGGCAACCAGACAGCTGTTTGTGGTCATCTGCACCACAGCGGGATACTGGGAGTGCATAAACTTGGCAATCTAGATTTTTGTGGTTTGTGTTTGACCGTTTATGTGGTGTGATTTCAGATAGAATTTTGTTTTGAGACTTCAGCCTAACTTTTCTTTTTATTTACTATTCCGTTAACATCCTTGAAAAACTTCCCTAGCAGAAAATAAACTACTTAAACTTACCACTTAAAATAAATAATTGTTGGGGCACCTAGGTGACTCAGTTGGTTGAGTGTGTGACTTTGGCTCAGACCACGATCTGACGGTTCGTGAGTTCAGGCTCCGCATGGGGCTCGCTGCTGTCAGCACAGAGACCACTTTCGATCTTTTGTCCTCCTCTGTCTCTGCCCCTCCCCCACTCATGCTCTCTCTTTCAAAAATAAAAAGTTAAAAAATAATTATTCTTTACGACTTCTATTCATGTAATTACTATGAACATTATTTGTTTTTAGTGTACTGTATTCACAGTGGTTATTTTTGACTATAGAATTAACTCAGAGTTATTATCGTCAATAGCTAATAATTATTAAGCGTCTGGCATTGTGTGAAACGCTTTACCTGTACTACCTCAGTACATCTCCAAGTCCATATTAGTATCTCTACTTCCAAAAAATGGACTTTGAAATTCAGAGAGATTTTGTTGACTAGTCCAAAGATACACAGCAACTTAGTGCAAGAGCTGAATTTCAAATGAAAATGTTTCTTTCTAGGTTACCTGATCGTTAAAAAATTACAAGACATTCTACCATTAGTGCTTGAAATCATTAATCGTTTATAAACAATGGAAATGAGATGATACAAATCACAGAAAACTCATGAAATTATAACGACCTACATCTAACCAATGTAGCCAGTATTAGCAAACTTTATGAAATGTAAGAAAGTTGCTTTCTTTCTTCCTTGCTCCTCTACGGGAGGTACAGAGAAATATGCCTCCCATTGCCCCCTCCCAACAAAGGTCACCAAGGTGGGTTCTGTTTGCGGGGTGCTAGCATCCCAATAAAACCCAGCAGCATGCATGCAGTAAAAGAGAAAAGAGAGCAGTGTTTCCCTAAGCCTTTGATTCCTAGAGGGAAATGCCATGGGCGAGAGAAGGGAGGCGATGGCCAGCTCAGGTTGGCAAGGCTGGCTCACATTCCCCTTGCATGTACCCTGTTCACGAAATCCTTATCCAGCTGTCTACAAGTGAGTAAAGGCAGGAAAAAAAAAACAGCTTAAAATGGAAAAAACGGAAAGTTTCAGACTCTGTCCTCTGAAGGTTGGTGTATAGATACCCTCTCACACTGAATTTTTTTTGTAAGTAAAATTTGAGTTTGATTATTTCACTGGAATGTTCCAGCTAATTCTTAAAGAGGTAGTCATGATCTTCTAACAAGTCTTTCCCATATGTTATTAGGATAGTGATTTATAATTCAGGTTTTGAAATATTCTCTAATATCTACAGCTATTTCAAAAGATGCCATAAAGTTTTGAAAAAATCCCCAAATAAAAATATCAAAACATCCCTAGAGGGCTGCTAAAATAATCTTCAAATTTTCTTTTTCCAGAATCCCACCATGCCAAACTACAAACTCACTTATTTTAATATGAGGGGGAGAGCGGAAATCATTCGATATATATTTGCATATTTGGACATAAAGTATGAAGACCACAGAATAGAACAAGCTGATTGGTCTGAAGTCAAATCAAGTAAGTGGCACAAATAGTTCATGAAAATGTAGGGAAAATATATTTCCAGAACTTTCTGTGTTTCCTCAGGGAAATGAAAAAAAAGAAAGGTTTTAATTTTTCTATTTATTGATTAAAAATTTTTTTAATGCTTATTTATTTTTGAGAGAGAGACAGAGCACAAGTGGGGTAGAGGCAGAGAGAGAGGGAGACACAGAATCCGAAGCAGGCTCCAGGCTCAGAGATGCCAGCACAGAACCTGATGCAGGGCTCGAACTCATGAACCGCGAGATCATGACCTGAGCTGAAGCCGGACACTTAACTGACTGAGCCACCCAGGTGTCCCATTTATTATTATTTTTTTAAATAGAGGTTTTTAAATCTGATTTAGCTTTACATTGAGAAGCTAGGTGGCCCCCAAAATTTTCTATTCAAGGTGAAAACACAAACCTCATAGAAAGAATATATAAACAATACAAAGCTGTGTCAGAAGAGCTGAAATGGGGAATACCAAAGTCATTATTCTTGACAATTGGAATTGGATGGGCTCACTGCAGATACCTATAATGTTTTGACAAGGGATCAGATATGCTGCTCTAACAGAAAACCGACCTCAAAATCGCTTAGATGACAAGGAAATTAGTTGTCTCAGATAACCAAAAATCAGAAATAGGACAGGTTTCAAGAGATGACTTTCTTCTGTGTGTTGGCGGCATCATGGAACAAGTAACAATAAGGTTGCTGCGGTTCCAGCCCCACAGCCTTGAACAGGAATGTCGAGAGATATGTGAGAGAGAGAAAGAGCACTGCTTCCATAAATGTTGAGTGAAGAAAATCTTTCCCAGAAGACGTCGGCAAACTTGTCATGTCTCACTGGCTCAAATTGGGTTATGTGTCTGCGTGTGAACCGACAAAGCAGATAAGAAGTACCTTGAACCATCTAATCTACCTCTGAAGTTGGGGGTGGAATCAATTTTCATGCAGCATGTGACTATTCAAAAGAAGGATGGATATGTGAGCAAAACTAGGATGTTTGATCAGAAGAAAGAGCAAATTGACGAATTGGGCAGGTAACCAAATGAAAACATGCTACTTAGCACTCAGGACAAAGGGGAAGGATTAGAAATATTATTACATTAAAAAGTGTGTGGCTCTCAGTAAATTGTGAGTCATCCCCTAGGTGCTTTTTTTTTTTTTTCTGAATGAAGAAAAAAATAGATGAGCTAATTCTTTTGTTCATGAAATCCACCTAGAAATACTAACTAAATATTAGTTGTATGGTTAAAATTCACATTTTTGTGATGAAGTTATTACAAACTTGCATAAAGATGAAGTTGAAGAAAACAACTATTGAGTATTGGAAGACTATCGGGCACCTGGTAGATACTCCCCAGACTCATTTCATTTAATTTCTCCAGCCTGCCTTCATGGGATGTATTATTGTTTCTATTTTATAGCTGGGATAGCTATAGCACACAGAATTTATGTAATCTACGTTCACAGTCCTAGCAGGGTAGAATTGTTTTTCAAACACAGGTCAATTTCATACAGTGGCCCAAGTTATTTGCACTAGATGCCAATAACTGGAGCCACTCTGGAAAACAATGTGGAGGTTCCTCAAAAAATTAAAAGTAGAACTACCCTACGACCCAGCAATAGCACTACTAGGAATTTATCCAAAGGATATAGGAGTGTTGATTCATAGGGGCACAAGTACCCCAATGTTTATTGCAGCATTATCGACAATAGCCAAAGTATGGAAAGAGCCCAAATGTCAGTCAACTGATGAATGGATAAAGAAGATGTGGTTTATGTATACAGTGGGATACTAGTCAGCAATGAAAAAGAATGAAATCTTGCCATTTGCAACAACGTGGATGGAACTGGAGGGTATTATGCTAAGTGAAATAAATCAGAGAAAGACAGATATCATATGATTTCACTCATGTGTGGAATTTGAGAAACTTAACAGAAGACCATGGGGGAGGGGAAGGAAAAAAAGTAGTTACAGAGAGGAAGGCAAACCATGAGAGACTCTTTTTTTTTTTTAATTTTTTTAACGTTTATTTATTTTTGAGACAGAGAGAGACAGAGCGTGAACAGGGGAGGGGCAGAGAGAGAGGGAGACACAGAATTTGAACGGAGTCCAGGCTCTGAGCTGTCAGCACAGAGCCTGACGAGGGGCTCGAACTCACAGACCGCGAGATCATGACCTGGGCAGAAGTCGGACGCTTAACTGACCAAGCCACCCAGGTGCCCCAAGAGACTCTTAAATACAGAGAACAAACTGAGGGTTGATGGGGGTGGGGGAGAAAGGAAAATGGGTGATGGGCACTGAGGAGGGCACTTGTTGGGATGAGCACTGGGTGTTGTATGTAAGTGATGAATCATGGGAATCTACCTCAGAAACCAAGAACACACTGTATGCTCTGTATGCTAGCCAACTTGACAATAAATTATATTAAAATAAATATATAAATAAATAAAACCACTAACACCAGGATAACTGGCATATTAACAATACATATCACCACATGCCTTTTAAAAACATGAGTTCTTTAAAAGTCATTGCCCCTGTAATCACTCTTTTTCTTATCAGAGAACTCTTCCCTGGAGGGCTTGACTATTTCATTTCCTTTTATCATGAAACTTTCTCATTAATATCCAAACTCTCCCCCTGCCATCAGAATTTGTACATGGGATTTTTAACTCTGTGGACATGAAATAGGTGAAATTAAATTATATTCATTAAAGAAGTCAAGATGGATAGCAAGTTGCACAGACATTACATATAACAAATGCTGCCTTTTAGTTTTTAGATATAAGTTCTGTGCGTGCCTCATACCCTCTTCTACCTTGACTTTCCATTATGTTATTAAAAATGGAATTGCTACATTTTCTTAATATTTTCACAGATTCTTAGAGTTGAAAGGAATTTTAAAGTTCATGGTGGTTAGGATGTATATATATATATATATATATATATATATATATATTCATAGTTTCAGATGCTTTAACAGACACCCAACACAAAAATGGCCTAAAGAGAATAGAAATTCATTTCTTTTGCATAAAAGCCCAAGCTGGTATAGTGGTGCTGCTCCATGAAGTTGTCAAAGATTAGGCTCCTTATTTTCTGTTGATCTGCCACCCCTTGTTGGTTGTCTAATTTATATAGTGTAAGATAGCTCCCCCTCCTTCCACATTTCAACTCACAGGAAGTCTAAGAGGGAAAGGGGCATATCTCTTTCTTTCAACAGCATGACCAGAAAGTTTTACATTTCACTTCTGCTTGTGGCCCCTTGGTAAGAACTTATTCATGTGGTCATACATTACTACAGGGGAAGCTGGGAAATGCTGACGTTATTGTGGATAATCATTTGCTCAGCTAAAAATCCAGGATTTTATATCTTTGAGAAAAAAGGCAAGAGCAGATGTTGAAAAGCAGTTTATTACATATTTTAGCTGGCCTCATCTCCCATCTGACTTAGGAATGCTCGCTGGTGTTTGAAATCCTCTATGACCTGGCCTCTGTGATAACCTAGAATATCATTGGATATTTCCATTAAGAAGTTCTTCCAAGTCAAACCTGGTAAACTGCACTCAGGTGTTGACATTTTTTTTCTCTTGAAATAACATTGAAGTACTTCTTAAAAAAAAAAAAAAAGTCAAAGCCCTACAAGGACAAAGAAATCAAGCTTGAATATAACAGCACAAAATTCTCAAAGCTGGAAAACAGGTCCAAGAATGGTAAGATGATGGGGCATCTAGGTGGCTCAGTCAGTTAAGTGACCAACTCTTGATCTCAGCTCATATCATGATCTCACGGTTTGTGAGTTCACCCCCGTGTCAGGCTCTGCACTGACGGCTTGGAGGCTGCTTGGGATTCTCTCTCTCTCTCTCTCTCTCTGCCCCTCCCCTGCTTGTTCTCTCTCTCTCTCTCTTTCTCCCCCCCGCCCTCTCTGTCTCAAAATCAATAAATAAACATTAACAAAAACAGAATGGTAAGGTGACTTAGTAGGCTACTGATGCTCAAATATCCTCCTAGAGGAGGAGGAGGCAAGCTGAATCACTCCAGGGATCCCCCCAAATTCTCAGGAATTGGAAGCAACTGAGAACTCTAAAAACTGAACTGACAGAGGATTGACTGGAAGAATGTGAGGCAGCAGCATGACCACAAGATCTTTTTCCCACCCTGGAAGAAGGATGGAGATTACTCTCAATCAAGGACGACCCAGGGGATTCTAGGACACCAGTCATGTCTGAGGACACAATACTATAGGTAGGATTCAACGGAAATCTAGAAACTAAATAGTGAGACCCAAAGCCCTTATCCCCTGCTCTACAGTCAGAATGCTGCAACCAAATGAGTATCCCTCGGGCAGGAAATGCGAAGTGTTGTCTCCAGGGAAGCTGGTCAGTCCAAGAGAAATGTCTAGCAGACACTGAACGGGTGGGCATCTCAGTGACACGGCCCAGCCCAGTCTGTTTGTAAGCCCTTCCCATGTCCACTGAGGTTCCAATTAGCTTTTATTCCTTTCACTTATTTAAAACAGGAATGGCAAACCAAAATTTAATAGATATTTGTTAGAAGGCCTCTAATATGAAACAGACCTACATGAAGAAGTAGTGGGGGAAAAATCAACTGAGGGCATCAGGATGATATAGCAAGAAAAAAATTTCAAAAATAGAAAATCCTCAAAGAGAACAGATATTCTATACATTGTGAACAAATATGCTATAAAAAGGAATGTTCAGAGACAAAAAAGGTGTTGAAACTAAAAATTTGATATAAACAAAACAAGTCAAATTGATAAAATGATAAAAAAAAGTAAGAACTCCTCCAGAAGGCACAGGAGGAAAAAGAAATAAAAAATGGAGAAAAAAGATTAGAAAAATTGAGACTCAAGTTGAAGATGTCTAATGTCTCAGTGAAATTCTGGAAAGAGAGAACAGAAAACAGAAAAGGAGGAAAATCTTTTTAATTTTTTTTAATGTTTATTTATTTTTGTTCTTTTTAAAAAATTTTTTAACTTTTATTTTTGAAGGAGGAAAACTTTTAAAAGACTATTCTTTACACAAAATTAGAATCTATCTCCTCATGGTTTTCATACATTGGCCTTGGACTTATCATTTTAATCTGTGGAGAATAGATTATTCCTTCTATCACATCCAATTATTTGAGGAAATTTAGTATCTTTAAGATCATAGAGAAAAAAAGACATTGCTGTGTAGTCAGTTCAATGATAATACTCTGAGTGCAGATAAAGCTCACTGGCCGAGTTCAGAACTGAGTCCCAGCTAACTCATACATCTGTTCCTCTAGATATCAACTTTTAGAACTTCCTTGCTTGTTTCTCTGATCATCATTGTGAATTTCAGTCCAAACTTTCTAGCCCTGACTCTACTTCTTGATTTATATGCTGCTTCCCATGGGTTATATGAGGTGGGGGGTCCAAGGGACAACTCTCTTCTCTTCCTGGAGGGTTCCATTTATGTCCCCTAGTTTGGATTTCCTCACTACCGAAGAAGGACAAGCTACTGTTAGATTATGTCCACCATTTAATGCATGGTGCCTGTGGGGAAACACAATGTTCCAGGCATTAGAAGAGCACAGAGCACAATGGGACCACCACTCTTAGCATAAGTCCGAGATACTCTCCAAGGACATTTTACCAAGATCACAGTGCTTACTTTGGCAGCCATATCACACAGCCTTATACTCAGCGTCACTAAATTCCTTAAAGCTTTTTGACAGATGCTCCTGTTTAGTTACATCTCCAACAACCCCAAAGTTATTTTTTTCTGGAACCAAATGAAGGCCTTGGCACTTATCTTCTTAAATTTCTTTATTCCCACTGTTGGCAATTATCACGAGCTTGGCTCAAATGCTGCCAGTAGCTGAAAGCCTACCATCTCGCAGGAAAACACATTCCATCATCAATAGTTCCAATGCTAAAAAATTATGCTTCATTTTGAGTTAATATCTGCCCTTTTTAAATTACTTTTTAGTTCCAGTTCTGCGTTTTAGAGATAGTCAGGATAAGTACAATTTTTCATCCATTTGATTGCTGTGCCATATATGAAGGCGACCATTAGGTTACACTTCGTTTGTTTTGTTCTCCCCAGTGAAGAGTGCCAAGTTTTTCAGCCAATCCTTATAAAAAGTGGTTTTCAGACCCTTCTCTAACTTGGCTACTGTCCTCTGGGTTTGCTCTGATTTTTAATGTATTTCACAAAATATAGCTCCTAGAACTAGCAAAACAGCTGAGCAAAGTTTCCAACTGAACTCAGTTTGAGCCTCTACCAAGTAGGTGACCTGGACTCTTGACACAACCTCTCTTCACCTCATCTCATTTATAAAATGAGATAATACCTACTTCACAAGATTGTGGTAACTACCAGAGGACCTAATGGGTACATGAAATATTTAGCACACTGCCTAGCATAAAGGGGGCAGCCCTCTAAATGTTAAGCATGTTAATTTCTAATCACATACTTTGCTCCGAATAAGGCATCGCTATTTGTGTCAGCTTTATTTGGGACTTTGTTTAGCTCACTGCAGTATCTCAGGCACCTAGAATTGTACTTAGCACACTCCTTAGGTAAGTACTCAAGGATGTTTTTATTCCTGATGTGAACTGTAATCCATCTTGTACTTATTTAACGTGCATATGGAAGACACTTGAAGGCTGATTCTAGGTTGATTCTAGTTGCATTAGGGTCATGGGATTATGAGTGGCACTTTATTCTTTTCTCCCTTTCCAAAATAATGATATTTCCCAAACTAAGGCACTGGTTGGGAATATTGTGATCAATACATGTGACAAAATATAATGCAGCCATTAAAAAGGGATGTTTCAGGGCGCCTCGGTGGCACTGTGCTCTCTCTATCAAAAATAACCATTAAAAACAATTTTTTTTAATTTTTTTTAACGTTTATTTATTTTTGAGACAGAGAGAGAGACAGAGCATGAACGGGGGAGGAGCAGAGAGAGAGGGAGACACAGAATCGGAAGCAGGCTCCAGGCTCTGAGCCATCAGCCCAGAGCCCCACGCGGGGCTCGAACTCACGGACGCGAGATCGCGAGATCATGACCTGAGCTGAAGTCGGATGCTTAACCGACTGAGCCACCCAGGCGCCCCAAAAACAATTTTTTTAAAAAAGCTGATGTGTCATTGATTTGGAAAGATTTCAAAAAGAGGTTATCAAATAAAAAAAGTGGTTTATAAATACATTATGATGTTGTTTTTAAATGCATATGAGTAAGCAATTAAAATATTCAAATAGCTGTAATTATATGGTAGAGTAATTATTTATCTACAACTTAGAATTTTTCTATAAAAACATATTTCTTTCTGACAAAACATAATAGATTGAGATAAAACAAAGTAGGATCTACAGGTAAAATAACACATCTGCTAGGAGTCTGCCCTAATATTTGTACAAATTGCTTACTTACTACCTTACTATATACTTCACATAGTCTCTCATCAAAATTGGCTAAATTTCTTACCATAACTCGATAGGTAAATCAAACTCTCCATTTCCTTAGATTATGGTTTTAAAGAATAACTCACGTTATTGCTCATGGAAGCCACAAAAATTAATGAAGCTTTAAAAGAAAGGTTTTTGAAAAGATAAGTAATAAGTGTTATGTAATATATGAGGTAATACACAGGTTAATATGTAGGGTCACTGTAAACCTGGGTTTTCGACCTGCTGCGGCCACTAACTCTGTAGTAGGTCTTCTGACAACTTAAAAAAAAAAAAAATCTTATCAAGGGGCGCCTGGGTGGCTCGGTCAGTTGAGCTTCCAACTTCAGCTCAGGTCATGATCTCATGGTTTGTGGGTTCGAGCCCTGCATGGGGCTCTGTGCCAACAGCTCAGAGTCTGGAGCCTGCTTCTGATTCTGTGTCTCCCTCTCTCGTTGCCCCTCCCCCATTGATGCTCTGTCTCTGTCTCTCTCTCCTTCAAAAGTAAACATTAAGAATTTTTTTAAATAAAAATATAAAACTTATGAAGATTCTGGTGCTTACTGTCCCTTTTAGAATAAATATTCAAAAATTTTATAACTTTCAAATCATGATTTATTTCTGTAATTATCAGTAAAAATGGAAGAATTATTACTGATTTTGGTACGGAAATTGATTTTTTTTTTTATTGTTGCTTCTTTTATTTTAAGCTCTTCCATTCGGTAAAATCCCCATTTTGGAAGTCGATGGACTTAACCTTCACCAGAGCCTAGCAATAGCAAGATACCTGACCAAAAACACAGGTAATATGTTTATTGTGTTGAAGAGTTTTGATAACCGAAAAAAAAAAATACAGGACATATATTTGCTACTCATTAAACAATTTTATTATTGAACATTATAGTGTAAAGAAGAATGAAACTAAATGCCAGAGAAGTATCAATGATAAAGCAGGTTATTTGTTGTACGAGTTATTTATTGTAATATTAGTAAAAGACATGAAAGAAACAAACCTAATCAGCAGAGGCTAGACAGTGGTGCTTCTATGTAGCTGAAAAAGGAGCAAAGATGCCCTTAACAAACTTGTGAGGAAAGATCTGTAGGATATATGGGGGATGCTTATATTGAGTGGGATATATAGTTTTATTTTCATAAAGAAATAATAGAAGAATACCAACCCCCGCCCCCCCCTCCGAACGGAATGGTAGGTAAGGGAGCACAATGAGAGGATGGGAGTGGGGGTGGAAGTTAGTCTTCATTGGATACAGTTTTATATTTTGAATTTTTGAACTATAACAATATATTGCCTATTAAATTAACATTTTAATATAGTCAATCAAATCCAGTGTATTTCTGGGCTTAAAATGGTCTTATTTTATAGATCTGGCTGGAAAGACAGAACTGGAACAATGTCAAGCTGATGCGATTGTGGACACATTGGATGATTTCATGTCACGTTTTCCTTGGGCAGAGAAAAAACAAGATATAAAAGTAATGTGATCAGTTCGTTGTTACTATTAATCATATCCACTTGCCAGGCATTAGGTGGCTTGCTTTAAAATCGCCTTTCTATCAAAGTAAGACATACGTATAGTTTTAAAATATCAAATTATATTAACAAATTTAAAACAAAGTACAGTGATTTCCTGCTTTACCTCTTCACATTAACCCCTCCTCAGACATAACCCTCGTTTAGCTAGTTCTTTAAGACAAGTCCATATGGCTTTCTTTGATTCACTAATTTTAGATAGTTTCTCTGGACTTATTACTATGGTAATAAGAATTTATCTCTTATGTAATCATCGTCTCTGCTTCCCTTCTTCCCAATTTTAATGATATTGAAATGTTTTGTTCAAATTGATATTTGGTTGTTACATTAGTATTCCTAGGCAAATATTATAGAGAACTGTGAATTGTAGTATACTTTATTTCCTTTCTCACTTTACCTCCTCAAAGTTACTAATTGCCTTTCCTTCATTTGCCTAATTGCTTTTACACTTACTACTAAACCTTCCCACACCATCCAGTAGCCTGCCAATACGATTTTCCACAAGGTCAATGATACCAGATAATCTATTATGTCCCCTATTTTCTTGGAGATACCTGGCCGAGATCCTCTCTCTTTTGCTGAACTGTCTAGGTTTCTGCACATCTGTCTTCACCAGACTTCCCTTCACTGTCATCCCAGGGATGTCTTTCTCCTGAGTGGAGTCCTATTGTTTCCTGGATGCCACCTCTGTCTTTTACTTACTTCTTTATTTAGGGTGCATCCTCCAGGATTCTAAAAGTTAAAAGGAAGCCTTGATGACAAGAGGTGTGATGATGACAGACAGCATGGATATGTCTGTCTTGTGTGCCACACTGCTTCAGTCTGGTTTGGTCACCCTAAACACCTTGTGCACAGTTGTCATCCTGAGATCTTTATTACCCTGATTTTCCTCTTTTTTTGGTCTCTGTCTTTCCCCACAAGCCAGACCATCCTTTATAATCCATGATAAAGCATAGGAAGATTAAAAAGTTTACCCAAAGCCCTCGGCATGTGGACAGGGTTCGTTGATTTTGAGCATCACCAGGCCATTTGCAGAGTATTTCTCAATAGCACTATCTTTAGGGACTAGAAGGAGTCCCAAGAGAGGACTTCCAGTCTTTTGCCTGGAAATAAAGTTGTGGATGCCAGTGTTCTGGGAAACAATCAGCAAAGAGAGGGCTAAGAATCTCAGAACTTAGAGTTCAGTGTTCATATATTCATTTAATCTCCTATTTTGAATACATTATGAATGACAACTCCCAACCCACAAACCATCGATTTCACCCTCTCGAGCCTTCTGCTCATGATGGGGCAGAGGCACGTGTCAAGTGTAAAATGAAGGAGGAAATCTCATGCTAAAACGACTTCTTCCACAGCTTTCCACCAGTCCTCACATTATCCTCTCTCTTACCTCCTTACTCCCAATTCTCGATATATCTTGCCTCTTCCTGAACCATTTGAGGGTGTTATGAGATACATATTAAAGTTTTCAGCTTTACCTTTGCAGATACCATTCAACCATTTTCTTTACGGTTTCAAATTTTGTTTTGTCTTGTCTCCTGTTTTCCACCTCTTTGTGGGCTCTATCTTTTCAAAAATACGTATTTACTGTGGTTTTTGGATGAAAAATATGTATGTGTGTCACATCCATCATCTTTATCCAGAATTCTAAATAGACCTTGCTGGTTATTCTCCATTACAGCCCCCTAGTGGTGTCCTGTAGGGCCTCATTACAATCGTATTTTATAAATTTTTTCTTTTCAACGTTTTTATTTATTTTTGGGACAGAGAGAGACAGAGCATGAACGGGGGAGGGGCAGAGAGAGAGGGAGACACAGAATCGGAAACAGGCTCCAGGCTCCGAGCCATCAGCCCAGAGCCTGACGCGGGGCTCGAACTCACGGACCGCGAGATCGTGACCTGGCTGAAGTCGGACGCCCAACCGACTGCGCCACCCAGGCGCCCCTTTTTTTTATAAAATTTTTTTTTCAACGTTTTTATTTATTTTTGGGACAGAGAGTACAATCGTATTTTAAAATATGTTTACTTGTTTGTCTCCTCCAGTAGAACACCCATGAGGGTAGTAATTATGTCCATGCTACTCACTCATGTCCCCACACCTAGCACTGCACCTCTCACTTAGCAGGCACTACATATGTGATGCATGAGAGACAGCAAGAGCTGAACTTCTCAAACACCACATGCGGGTGTGGCTCCAGCCCCTTCACACATGCGGTCTCAGCCAGTCCCCCCAATCCACCCGTGAGATAAGTGCTTTCTAAATTTTTTTTTTAACGTTTATTTATTTTTGAGACAGAGAGAGACAGAGCATGAATGGGGGAGGGTCAGAGAGAGGGAGACACAGAATCTGAAACAGGCTCCAGGCTCTGAGCTGTCAGCACAGAGCCTGACGCGGGGTTCGAACTCACGGACCGCGAGATCATGGCCTGAGCCCAAGTCGGCCGCTTAACCGACTGAGCCACCCAGGCACCCCAATAAGTGCTTTCTATCACCATGCTCACTCTGCACATGAAGAAACTAAGAGATAGAGTGGTTATGGAGTTGCCTCATCACCTGTGCATTCTTTCTTTTAAATTAGTGACTAACACCCAGGGCCTCCCTTAGGGAGAAACTATGATGTTCATTTTTCCAGATGGAGAAACTGAGGTTCATGTAGCATAAGTAATTTGTATATGGTTATTTAGCTAGTAAGTAGTACACAAGGAATTCAAATCCCAGCCACTCGGACTCAGACTCCATGTTCTCAACCGCTGGTTTTAATGCCAGCAGCTGGTCACTATGTATGTCTTATTGCTTATGGTCTGTATCCAAAAGTTACAGCATGGAATGACAGTCTTATCAATTTGCTTAAACATATTTATGCTAAATACAACTTACTTAACTAGGAACTTCTGATTTCAATAGAGATATTTGGAACATCAAAGTATTCACATTTCCTGATTCCTTGACATGAATGTAATGGCTGCCTAACCAGCACAAAGTTTAAAATAAAAGCTCAGCTTTGATTCATAGCAATTACCTTCAGGCTCTGGAGTCACACTGCCAGGCTTGAATTCTGATTCCCTTCTTACTAGTTGTCACATAACTACCTATCAATAGTTCAAATTCTTTGTCTGTAAAGTAGGGATACCACAGAATCTACTTTGAAGTGTGTTGGCAGGATTAATGAAAAGTTAGCATGAGTACATATGACAAGGTAGCAAGTGTTTTGAGAAATATTAGATATTATAATTATTCTATGATATATAATTAATAGTGCTTGTATAGTTCATTGCTCATTGTTTTTCCTTTTCTCAGACATGGCCATCTATATTTAACACATCCTTATAAGTGCAGAGACAAGTAGATACATAATCTCCAATTTAGAGAAATGTATCTAAAACTTTTCCTTCGATGTGCTAAAGACCCCACTGATTGGCAATCTATCAATCAATGGGCTTGTTCTTCTCTATTTCTCTATTTTGTACTTTTCTGTGGCCGAGGCTCCATAATAGAAGCTAACTCCCAGAGGAAAATATTCTTTGGATGTTTATGATTAGAGTAACCTACCTTTGTATTAGAATAACCATGCTCTTACATACCTTCTAGCTAAAAAAACAAAATTCACAGGACATAATCCAAGTTTATAAATAAATCATATGAAAGGAGAACATGTTACAGAAATAGTGCAATTGGCTACATACCATCTGATTAATAAGCAGGATCTGGCTAATATATAATGAACAGGCCACAGTTCCAGTATATTCCATTGCGTAGTCTCCCGGCAGTAGGTTGCACTGCTGCCACCTTGTGGTCAGGTACCATTTTCAAGAGCAGAATATTGATACAGTGCAGATGGACGGACAGTGAAAATAGCCCTCTTACTGTATGAGCCCTAAAGATCTATCAAACACACATAATTATAAATGTTACAGTATTGGTTGCTAAAAAATTCCACTTCCAACTTTTAAAAAAATAAATTTAGAAGGCAAAATATGTTTCTGGACATTGGTCACCCTGAGAATCCTCGAATTTACCACTTGTGTTTCCCTGGTTATTCAACATATCTCTTGCAGTTTCCCCCTAAAGAATGGGAACGGGAAGATGAAAGATGAGCAGGATTGAAGGAATGCCAGTGGCCCATTTCCAACACTAAATGATTGAGGAAGTGCTTTGGAGAAATAGAATTCCTCTAAAAGTCATCTGATAGAATACTGTAGCAATCAGTTCTCAGGTTCAAAAACCTCCTGACTTACAATGCTCTGGAGGAAGAAGGAAATTTCTGAGTCTACCGAGTGGCTATCTAGGGTCTATCAGGAAATACATTTTTAAAAGTACACATCTGGAAAAAAGGATGTGTAATGAAATTTCATCTTTTTTGTGTTATTTTAGCGAGTATTCTTCAAAATGATTCTTAAATACTAATAATTATGCTGGTTATAATTTACATGTCATTCGAGGAGATGAATCACTGAGATGATTCACCAAACATATAAAGAGAACCTGCAATAAAAGATTCTTTTAGTGCAGAGAAAAGATTTTTATTTGGCATTGCATATGCACAAGCATCAGTGTACCTGACCTTAAGTTGTGGAAAATGCACATTAGAAGAAGGAACAAAATTGTGTAGATGAGAATACAAAAGTTTTGGAAACCTGTCCAGCAGCTACATCCTGTTCCATTTGATTCCTTCCCATTTCTAGCTATTCTAGGAGAGTCAAGTTGGCCATAAATACCTTTCCAACTGATGCTGAGCTGGGCTGGGCTCTGGGAAGTGCCACATAGATCTGGGTCCATTACTTCTCAGCTTGCACATGATGTGTAAGAGGCAGAACTCACACTGTTTTATTGTAAACTATGAACATATTAACCATAGAGAGAGAACCTTATGAGTGAAGGTAGCATAGAACAGTAGAAAAAATAAAAAGGCAAAATAATGACAAACTTCCCATGTTTCATTTATAAAATCTAGCCAATGTATGTAAATATGTAATGATGCTTTTGCAAACTGTGCTTTACAAACCTAAGGCATTATGTTACAGTAATCTCTATTACCTAGCAGTTATAATAATAACAAAGGAATTGGCAAGTTGGTGAGGGAGTTAATCCACAACCTGACCTGTCTTAATAAAGGCTGGATTTTATTATACATCATTTATCATTATTAGCAAATAACACATGTACACACATATTTTATAATATTTTTGAGATTGGCTTACATTTCATATCCAAGATACACACCAGCCAGAATTTCCATATACAAACAAACACTTCTTACCAAGAAAGAGGCCATGGTCTTTTCTAAGAACATTTGGTTTGTAATGTTAGCTTACATAATATATCAAAAGAGTGTACCTAGATGATGGTTTTGTAGATGATATTCAAGGCAGACAAGGCTCATACTAAGGCACCATGTCAAGCCAACAAGAAAAAACGCATAAAAGCCCGAGAGCATAATGATTTATTATAGATTACTTCTGTTAAGTGCAATGGGGAAATAAAAGACTGCCAAACAAAAGGAACCTAGCCTTACAAACTAAAATTCATTTCTTTAGCCTCAGTTACGTCATTTCACTTCAAAAAGAGTGAGCCTAAGAAAAAAGATTAATTTTAAAAATGTAAAAACATAATGGAATCGTTTTTTCTCAGTAAAAATTAAGATAAAAATCATGAAAAGTTTTTGTGGGTGAAATATTCAGTCATCATATACAAAGAAGCTGTAAGAACCGGTGACAGTTATTTTTTAATCCATGAGTAACAAAGGGATGACTAAGTATAAAGAATCAGACCCCAGTCTCCGTGTCACACATTTGAAAACAGCAACCACCCCCACCAACAACACATAAGCTACTTCTCTTCCTTTCTCAGCTCATACAGGAGAATAAATATGGAAAAATCTACTTCCTCTTCCAATCATATTATTTATTTTTCTTCCTATTATCCTTAAAGTGAGCTTTTTCTCTCTCTCCTAGGATCAGATGTTTAATGAGCTTCTTACATATGATGGACCTCATCTTCTGCAAGATTTGGACACATACTTAGGGGAAAAAGAGTGGCTCATTGGTAACTCTGTGAGTACCTTTTACATCATAAAAAAACGCAAGCACACACACACCCAACCAAAAACTTACAAAGAGTCACTGAGAAAAAAAAAAGTTACCCATCGGGAGAGAGTAGGTTAGAGAGCAGGGATAAAAGCTAAACTTCTCTGAATAAATTTTTTTAGTGGACTTAACTTTGAAAGCATCCAGTAAAATATTTTATATAATTATATAAAAACAACAAAAATATTTTAAAAAGCTAACATTGCAAAGTAAAAGCAAAGTGAAACAAATAAACCTGTGTCAAATTGATGCATGAGTGTGTAAAGTACCTAAGTACTTTATTAGTGAGGTAGAACTGTTTGAAGAAATATCACAATAAAACACAGTAATTTGACTGTACATCTTATTATAAATATTCTCTCAGGACAAAAAATAGAAATTGTACACCGTTGTTAGTAGGGGCATACCTCGGAGATATTGTGGGATCGGTTCCGGACCACTGCAACAATGCAAATATCACAGCAAATGAATTTTTGGTTTCCCTGTATACAGTTATGTTTACACTATACTGTAATCTGCTAAGCATGCAATGGTATTGTCTAAAACAAAACAAAACAAAACAATATACATATCTTAATTAAAAAATACTTTGTTGCAGGGCGCTTGGGTGGCTCAGTCCGTTAAACACCGGACTTCAGCTCAGGTCATGATCACATAGTTTGTGGGTTCGAGCTCTGTGTCGGGCTCTGTGCTGACAGCTCAGAGCCTGGAGCCTGCTTCAGATTCTGTCTCTGTCTCTCTCTGGCCCTCCTCCACTCACTCTCTCTCTCTCTCTCTCAAAAATGAATAAACATTAAAAAATTAAAAAAAATACGTTGTTGCTAAAAAAAACGTTAACCATCATCTGAGCTTTCAGCACCTTTTAATCACTGATCACAGACACCATAATAATGAAAAAGCTTGCAGTGTTGCAGGAGTTACCAAAATGTGACACAAAGTGAGCAAATGCTCTTGGAAAAATAGTACAAAATAGATTTCCTCAACACAGGTTTGCCACAAACCTTTGTAAAAAACACAGTTTATGTGGGGCTCCTAGGTCTCAGTCGGTTAAGCGTCCAACTCTTGATTTTGGCTCAGGTCATGATCTCACAGTTCATGAATTTGAGCCCCATACTGGGCTCTGCACTGACAGTGTGGAGCCTGCTTGGGATTCTCCCTCTGCCCCTCCCCCACTCACACAAATACACACACACACACACCCCTCTCTCTGTCTCTTAAACAAAAAAAAAAACCCTCAGTATCTGCAACATGCAATAAAGCAAAGTACAGTAAAGTGAGTGTTCTTGTAATTATATTGTTGGTGGTACTGGCTTTAGTCATATTGTTTTCTTCTAATATTAGTATATCATATTTTGGGGTTAAGCAATACAAAAATATGTGGATGTCACTGAGAACCAGGACCTTCAGTGTGGGAGAAAGAAGATAGAGATGTCAGATGCATGAAGCTGAGTAAACATCTTATTCCTGAAAGTGAACTATATCTGAAGTCATGATGAACTTTATCTCAGGGTAAAGAAAAAAGCATGTTGTATCCCTTTTCTGGACACAATGACCAATCCAATTGTCCTGGGCACCTGCAGGACCCAGATTTGGGGTCTAAGTATTAAAGGATTTAATATTAAGTATTAAAAGGAATGAGGGGTTCTTGGAGAAATAGCTCATTCTCAATTCGGGCAGGGAAACGTAAGAGACGAGCTGGGAATACCTCATCACACCGGAAGCAAATGAATTATCAAAGACAACTGGGGTTGTGTCACAAGGACTCAAAAGTTAACTTGAAGAGGCTTCCAGTGGCCAAAGATGGGACAATTCAAGCTTCACGAAGAATATTACTGGCAGTGGATTGAAACAAATCAAAATGAAGACATGATGTGAAGACACCACAACCAAACACAAACATGTACACGTAAACCCCCAAACCAAATAGAGCTTCATTGGTTACTTTTAGATGATACGGAGTCAAATTATCATTCTGAAAATGGTCTTTAAAAGGTTGGGGGGTTTGAATAAAGAATTTACCTTGCCTTTCCTATGCCAATTGCACCTCAAGATAACAAAAGTCGATGGGCCAAGTTTGTCTTCACCAAAGTATTCCAGTTAGTGAATAAAAAGGGGGATTAAAACAAACTGTTACCGTTTTCCAACCCCTGATAATTGGAACGGACCTAGGCATTGACTAATAATAATTGTTAATGTCACAAAAAGTGAGACAACCAGATATTACAGCCCTACTACTGACAGAGGAGCGCAGTGGCACCTATAAAGTACTATGGACAAAAACTCAGATCTAAATACGATTCAGGTACTGGGGTAGGTTGGGGTCCTTCAAGGAGACTACATTCTAGGAGACAAGACACAGATTGCTTTTCGCAGCACTCTGGTGACTTAGTCTGGTCACAGTGTGTTGAATCCTTCTGGGTGACACAGAAGCAAGCTTGTCGCATCTTTATTCTCAACTTGCAACTCACCACATGCCTCTTCATTTCCTCCCATGGACTCCCCAGTAGACTTTCCTATAATGTTCCTCTCCCTGCCCTATTGAATGAACACTTTCTAAAGACTTAAAATGTACTCCCCTTGTTTTCTCTTAAAACTCTTCAGTAAACTACCTCCTGACCCCATCTCTTAGCACTCTCTCCCTTCCTCACAGTGTTCCACACACACTCGTGTTTTGTTTGTTCCTCAGACACAAATCTCACTTCCACCTAAGAGCCTTTACGCTTGCTGGCCCCTCGGCCTAGAATGCTTCATTTCCAGCATGTTTCCTGTCTGGGTCCTATCCTCATGTAAGCCTGGCTTAAATGTCACCTGCTAAAGGTCTTCCCTCCATGACCACCTGAAAGTCGTTCACTTTTTCTTCACTGTCCCTATCAGTTACCTGTTTGTCTTCCTGCTTCTTAAATAAAAGCTACATCCGGGAAAGGGCTTGCAGCACATTTTGCTTTCCAACCCATCACAGCACCTAAACCCGCACATGACACACAATAGGTACTCCATAAATATTTGTTGCCTGAACTCTGAATCCTCTAACCCATAAAACTCTCCTGGCTGACAGGGTTTTAGTGTCCATGTTCATAAAACACTAGAATTAGCATTATTAAATTCCATACAAAAAGAAAACTAAGGATAGTCCACATTTAAACTTCACTTTTTGACATTCATCTGGAGCGAAAGTAATGTCAGCCGGATTAATTTCTAGTCACAAAGGGGCAGGGCGGGGGAAGTGTACAAAGAAAAAATGTACAAGGGTAGGACCAGGCTGCCATCACTCTAAGGTTTCCACTAATGCTCAGGTACCCATTATGTCTTTTGATGTGATGCAATATAATGTGTTAGTTAAAAATATTTAACTTGCAACTATGAACTCTCTAGGGATAACGTGCACTCTATCCCTTCATACTCTGCAGAATAAAGGAACAAGGTCAACAACAGGACAAAATAATCACACAAATCCTGAAGATAGCACATTATTCAGGACTAGTGTGAACTCTTCAGTAAAAGGGAGTTAAGTGGCATAACCAGATGAAACGCATGTCCTGAAATGGGTCTGCTGTGTCCTGTAAGGGACATTTTTGAAAGAGATTAAAAGTATTGGTTGGGTATAAGATAACGATGTATTGTCACAGAGAGGTTGAGAGTGAATCAAGTTACAAGAATATGCACTGTAAAATCTCCTTCTGTGTTTTTCATAAAGTTTTTATTTCTTTTGAGAGATGGAGAAAGAGGGCGTGAACAGGGAGGGGCAGAGAGAGGGAGAGAGAACCATAGCAGGCTCTGCACTGTCAGCCCAGAGCCTGACAAGGAGCTAGAACTCAACAACTGTGAGATCATGGCCTGAGCTGAAACCAAGAATCGGACTCTTAACCCCATGGAGCCATGTAGGTGCCCCTGTAAGATCTCATTTTAGAAGGAGCACGCACACACAAATATCTTATACCCAGAGGTGTTAATATTAGCAACCTCTAGGTATTGGGAGTATAGTGTTATCTGTTATTTCCTATCATATACTCATTCCACTTTCATAGTAAAAGAGAACTTTAAATTAAAAAGAAACTTTCTGTTGTTGTTTATTTTTGATAGAGAAAGAGCAGAGAAGCAGGGAAAGGGCAGAGAGAGAGAGCGAGACAGAATCTGAAGTGGGCTCTGTGCTGACAGCAGAGAGCCTGATGC